CCCCCAAAACCCCAAAACCCCAAAACCCCATTTCAATATCATAAGATTGATAAAATGGAATCTGAAGAAGAAAAATATATCATGACAATCCTTGGGCCTAAGAGTATGGGGCCAGAAGACATTTGCTTACCATATGAGCATCTCACGAGTGATCTTTCATCTGCTAATATTGGTACTTAGTGTCTAACCTCGTATAGATCACTCTGACGATAAACTTCCAAGAGAAGACTTGAAGCTTGAGTTTAAGAATTTATCCAGACTTCGAAAATACCCATATAATTCACTTGAGAACTGAGTCCAGTCAGATACAGTTTATACTCTTGGCCATGAGCTCTTGTATGCAGCTGATTTTGGAGTAAAGTTCGTCATTGATACCACTCCTAAAATTTTTGGAAAGGACTGGGAGAAATTACAAAAAGTTACTGAAGAAGTTGGGGATAAAATTTCAATCATCACTGGATGCTCCGGCCTAGCAGATTCAACGCTTGATGTACTAGCAAGAAAGAAAATTAACCTCACATCTGAACAGTTTGATCTTCAGGTTCAAAAATGTATAAATGACTTTACTTTTGAATTAAACACAGGATATTCAGGACTAAAGGCAGGATTTATTGGAGAAATAGTTATTCTTAATTTGAATCAGATTGAGAAAGCAAGACTCAAAGCAGCTGTAAGACTTCAACTAATATATAGATAACTGTATCAAAAGAAATTGGAGTTCCTGTGTTCTTATCAATAGATGATAACTCAGAAATACTTCCAGACCTGATAGATTACATAATTAAAGATTTAGACTACGATAGTGAAAAAGTTATCATACAGATGTCAAAACTCGACTCTTCCTTTATTTCTTCTACTTCTCAGGCAACAGTGGGTTCCTCAAGCTTGGCCTCCCCTGCATCTCATCATGTAAGCCTTGTTGATTGCCTGTCTACATTTTTAGAAAATTGTAGATATTCCTTAACCAAAACTCGATAACTATAGACTTTTAATGTTTTATTCTAGACAAGCCCATGGAACTTACTCTCTAAGACTCGCTTCAGTATATGCTTCACTCAGTACTCTAGAGGGCTAAGCTATATCGCTGGTCACTGGGTGGCAGACAACTTTGGATTGGAGGAAGGTAAATCTGAGGATGAGAAATTAGGAGTTGGCAAAAAGATGAATGCAACATCCACTTGTCGCCCACCTCAGAATTATCAAATTCGATCGAATTTACCTTCCATTTACTCCTTCCTTCAGGAAATCAAGCTAGATGACCCTATTCTGGAGAGGCTCTTAGTCTCTACGGGGATTTCTTTCAAATCTCAGCTCTTGCAATTTGGAGGAGATGGATATTCCTCTGTATTTGAAGGCATCACTCAGGATAAATATGCTTCCCCAATAGACGAGAGAATTATTAGTCAAATTTTTAACGAAAACCCAAAAAGAATCTTCAGGTAAGCTAGAAACTCATGAACCATAGCTATTGGACCAAGCCTCCAGTTGAAGAAGTAGAGATCCCAATGTTCACTTGAAGATGGTGTGACGATGAGTTCCTTGATGATGGATCACGCCCAAAGTTCGAGAAATTTGAAAATACTTATTGCTCCATGAAGTGCTTGGCAGATCATAGAAAGTTTGGATTTGAGTAACAAATTCAACCAATTTTGTACCTAAAGGGGTTTTGGGGTTTTGGGGTTTTGGGGTTTTGGGG